GTACAGTATGGTAGGTAGACTAGTGATGAAGGTATGTCAGTGTCTATACACTATACCACACCTGTCTTGTCTTCTCTTGTTTTCTCTTGTCTTGTCTTGTCTTGTCTGTACTTACAGTATATATAGTGTACTTATCATTCTGTCCCTCCCAGTCGGCAGACTTTCTGTCTCATTATTCAATGACACACAGTCACCCATATAGACAGTCACGTATATACACCGTACATGTACATGTACATACATTCGTACTTTCATTCATATTATAGACAGTCACACATTCCGACTGTGTGCTCTTGTGTATAATAATAATCATTAGTTAATCATTGTCATCCTTTCCTTGAATTAGTATTCATTGAGTGAGAGAGAGAGTGATTTGTTCTACTCACACTGGTAACTGTAATGGTCTAATGATGATACTAATTTATTGTTTAAGTGTCCAATTATATCATTAATTAAGTCCTTACATTTATTAACTTCACATCAGAAACACATTTGTATTCATGTACATGCATGCATGCATGGTTAGACCTGGTCCTTGACGTTAGTATGAATTAATAGACCAACCAACTAACCATTCCTTGTAAGATTGGCTTTAGGATAAGTGCTTTACCATACATTTACATTTCTATTTGTACATCTCTCTCTCTCTCTCTCTCTCTCTCTCTCTCTCTCTCTCTCTGTCCCTCCCTTCCCTAGTCTAATGATCAAGACTCATAATGAATTCCTAAAGACAATTAAAGGGCAAAGACCTGACTCCCTGTTGTCAAGGCAACCAGACGCCCCTCGTCTAATTGGTTGGGTGGAGTACGTGAGGGATCTCTCAATGAACACTATCTGGTTCTTACTGCCGATAATTGTGGGTGTGGTCATAATATGGTTTGATGGTTCTATTTTATCAATTAATAATTGAAATTATTATTATTATTTATTAGTATTATTATTATTGTTGATAATTTTTAGTTAAAATTATTTTTTTTCGAGATGAGAAGAAGGAAAATACATATAATAATAATAATAATATACAAAATAATATAACACAGATAATAATGATAATAATAATAATTAATAATGAAAGAGTTACTTATAACAAATGATGTCACATGAGAAAATGCCAGATAATTAATATTTAAATTGTCTTTTGTCTCTCGAAAGTATTTATTTGGCGCACTGTGAAGCTTGCTTGGCACCTGCAAAAATAAAAAAAGATAATAATAATAATAATTATTATTATTATTACTATTATTATTATTATTATTATTATTATTTCATCATGTTATGTGTATGTTAGTATCTTTACCTGAGAGACATTCATAATGAAGGTTTGAGAATATCACGTTTTGTTGAGAGAAGGCAAACACTCCCAGTCTACCTCCTTTGAGTCCCATGTCACAGAGACAACCAGTGTCTACTATCATACGAGCACCATTGTAGAACTTTAGTCTGTAGGAGAGAGAGAGAGAGAGGTATTTCATTACGTATTGTTCAGTAATTACGCTGTCTTTGATCACTAATTGCGGCATGCTCTGCTATTCCCTGACCAGCTGCTATTTACAACTAAGAATTCAAAAAATCCCTCCACTATAGTACCAGTATATATTATCACTACTCCCCAAGTGATAATTGGGAATATTAAGGTGCGGCCACTATCGACATTAATTAATACCCACAAGATAACTAGACGAGTGTACGTATTTATTTATTAATTTATTTATTATTGTTGTTGTTGTTGTTGTTTACCTCATACAGTCTTTGTTTCCATTATAAGTCAGTTCCCAAGCATACCCAGTGTCATACTCCCATCCATAGAAGTTAGGGTCGTACCAAACAGTGTTCACATTGACCATGTGATCGGCAGCATGAGTGTTCCCTGTCCTCCATAAGGCGTTACGAAGGTGAGTACTGGGTCCTTTATTAGAGTCGACTACTTTGACTTGAATGCCAGCAAAAGCATTAGCTTCAAACGGACTACTGATCCAATAAGTCTGGTTAGTCTTCTTCCACATGACTACGATAAACCTGGAGAGAGAGAGAGAGAGAGAGGGTTAATAATCATCATTCTTCATATATTTGATGTTAATTTTATTCTCTTACCTTTTGTTGCTTTGATAGTTAAACACAAAACCAGCGTAATCGTCATCACTGTTCTTCTCAATGAAGAAGGTTCCAGTGTACAGGACCGAGTGGAAACTGTCCATACCAATCAAAAGACCAGGATCTGAGTTCTTGTGTTGAGTGATCTCAGCTCCCTATGGTGAATAATAATAATAATAATAATAATAATGGTATTAAATTAATATTAGGTGGTGTTATTATTTAATGTTATATTTAATAATTCAGGAAGGAAATATGTAGGAAGAATAGATCATTTGTACCAATCCACTACCACTAATGGCAATACAGTAATGATGATATTATTCTGTTGATATTAGGAATTTATTAATAACGGATACTACAATGAACTACTCATAAGGTAAAGTCACGTACATGTGTGCATTCCAACATAATTGAATAATAATAAAATAATAATAATAATAACAATAAAATACTAATAATAATAATAATAATAATAAATACTAATAAAATAGTACTAATATTCCGACCACTTAAAATCTTAAATACAAATTATATGAACATGCTAAGCATGCAACTTTATTGAATAAGTACTGTAATGAGTGAATACTGTAATATCAGACTAAGACATTATATATGCTCATTGTAACAATGTACATGTATCCTGTATTGATTCATATGTACATGTACATGTATATATGAATGACACTTTGCAGTGTTGGTGCTTATGTCTAGACGTTATCAGTTACTATAAAAATTAACACTTCATGATATGAACTGTAATAGGACGCAACTGTACTGTCAGGAATGTAATAAATACATTTTATAAATACTATCCCATAACTCCCCCTTCTCCCTCTCCCTCTCTCTTTCTCTCTCTCTCCCTCTCTCTCTCTCCTCTTACATCATCATTAAACTGCCAGTCAGGATCAACCTGTTCAGCTCCCTCTGGGTCCAAGGCTATGATGGTGTGTTCTCTAAAGTCAGTTTTATCAATGTTCTTATTACAAGGACAGACATCATCAGCATCAGGAGTACCATCTCCATCACAATCATTAGCACAAGCATTACCAAGAACATCACCTACAATAATAAATAATAATAGTAATAATAGTAATGATAAAAGGAGTATATAATGGTAATTTATGTTCAAATTAAGTTTTAGATAATATAATTTAATTTCTTTACCCTAATGTCGGATAACCCATTCCAGTAGACATTCTACAACACTTAAGCATGTACAGTATGTTAGTATTATTATTATTATTATCATTGCTATTTGTTTCCCTCTTCTACTATCATAACAGGGCCAGTAGACCAGCCACTAAAGGTGACTAATCACTCCTCATTGTATACACTAGGGGGACACACCTTAGCTACCCCAGACAAAGGCAGGCATGCTTAGGTCAACTGCCACACATCAAAAGTGCCTCAACTATTACTAGTGACTCCTAATTCATTTATCAGCCTCATACCATAGTACCGACCAACTGTTAAAAACATGTTGTTTATCAATTCTATTCTATACATCACCATCACTCACTCGTGTCAGTACACCATTACATCATCACATCAGATCATAGTATACACACACTGTCTACCTCGTTAAGGGTGTGTGAATGAGTGGGCGGATTATTAGCACACATTACATCAATGAGTAGGCACATATACATGTATTATTATTATTATTATTATTATTATTATTATTATTACTAGGTACATGACTAGTTGTATTGACGTTATCATGAGGTTTTAAGGTGTGTCTGTGTCTGAGACACTGCGTGTGTGTTCATGACCAGATGGTGAGTGTGTGTGTGTGTGTGTGTATAGACTAATCCTCTTATGTCATTTGTTGTGTGTTCATTTTATTTTGTGTTTTACATTCAAAGAAGGTTAAGTATAGTAAACAGAACAAGGAAAGTATTCATTCAAAGAACCATCAAAGAGGCTACTAGTACACCTAACATTTGTACATGTACATATTCTGCTAATATTAATCAGTACAGTACAAAGCTTTTAACTTAAAAGTGTTAATATTTTAGCTATTTTATTATCGCCACTCATTATTATTTATTTATTTATTGTTGTACTTACTAGGATTGTGTACTTTAGGGCAGGAGTCTACAGTGTCCTTCACTCCATCATTGTCATCATCATCATCACAGGCGTCACCTTTACCATCGCCATCAGTGTCCAGCTGGTCAGCATTAGGAGCGTTGCGACAATTATCAATACCGTCTTGTATGCCGTCTTTATCTGAATCAGAAGTGGATTCACAAGCGTCTCCTACTCCATCTTGATCAGCATCTTCCTGTGAGAGAGAGAGAGAGAAAGAGAAAGGTATAAATTAATGTTTAATAAATACATTTCAATCTACATATAAGTATTGTTTAATGTAATAGTGTTAACTAATGTTAATTGTATCCTTAAGGTGAATCATTACTAATGAATTGGTAAATGTTGTTGTATTTATATAAGGAGCTACAAAGGGGCCAGTGTAGTCTATTACTGATCCTTATTTGTGTATAAATATTCAAATAATGAGCAGCTGTCATTCAACATTATTGATAATAAACCATTCTAAGAACAGGCATATTGTCAGCTAATACCTTATACACATTACAACATAATGGGATTAACAGTCCCAGTATAGACATCACATACTGAATGATCTCTGCTATAATATTACATTTACATGGACTTATACTGTGTGTGTGTGTGTCTACATACTTGGAATCTATTCCTCCTGTATGGGCAGTTGTCACAATCATCTCCAATCCCATCTCTATCAGTGTCCCTAATACTGTAGGTGCTCTTCTGTCTTACACACTTATCCTGACTGTTAGGAATATCTGAATAAAAATAATAATAAATAAATAAATAAATAAAAACAATAATAATAGTTATAGCCTCTATAATAAGGACGCCTTTATAATGAGGACATTTTGTAATGTCCCAATTGGTACAAGCCTGTACAAAAGTACCTCTGAAATGAGGACACTTCTCTACAGTGTACGTCAGTACATGTGCTTACTGTCTCCATCCACGTCATTGTCACACTGATCTCCTTTCCCATCTTCGTCAAGATCTTCTTGACTTGGGTTCCTGACGTTAACGCAGTTATCACAAGCATCACCGACGTGATCCCGATCAGTATCACGCTGATCCCTGTTTGATATTCTCGGACAGTTATCATTGTGATTAGTGATTCCATCATTATCAATATCAGGATCACAGGCGTCACCTAATCCATCACCATCAGCATCCTCCTGCCCACTGTTGGCTTTATTCTTACAATTATCCTATGAAAAGTACAAATTTAATGGGTCGCCCAACATAATTTAATGGGTATTCATGCATGTATTATTGGTTTGCCAATTGTTATTTTATACTTACAGCTTTGCATGAAGCTGATCCAGGTTTAGAGCAACCAGTGGTGAGGGCTGTGTCTGGTATACCATCGGAATCTGAATCAGGACTACACTGGGTACCATTACCAATGTTACCTCTTGGACACTATAGGGAGAGAGAGAGGGGGGGAGAGAGAGAGAGAAAGAGAGAGGGAGAGAGAGAGAGAGAACAGACAGAGGGAGAGGGTAAAATTCAGTCTGTAAACAGGTGTCCAATCCAATAATGTATCTAGTGACAAGGTAATTACCAGTGCCAGTATTTATAAAAGGTAGAAAAATGTATGCCCATTGTGTTACTGGTAATAGAGGATAATTGGTAGTTGGTAAACAGCACATTACAGTATACACACACTGGTACATGAGGTGCTAATAATATTAATTATATATACTGTATATGTATCTCTGTATATGGAGGAGGGTTGCATTCTTTGAATTTTTGAAAGCATGGCAACACAATTCATGGAAACAGCCTTATACTGTATATATTGACACAATCTCTCTCTCTCTCTCTCTCTCTCCCTCTCTCTCTCTCTCTTTCTCTCCGTCTCCCTCTCTCTCTCTTACCTGGCACTCATACTCCCCAGGGTTGGTATTGATACAGTACTCATCCATCATACAGTTGTGTACTCCAGCAGCACAGGGATTCTCCAGTGCACAGTTGTAGCTACCCTGAGCTATGTAACCAGGCTTACAGTCACCACACTGGTAAGAACCCTGGAATAAAGTATAACAGTAGCAATGTAATCACTCTAGAATCATAATATACAGTACTTATAGTGTACATTAGTACTGATAGTGTACATACTTAGGTTAATGTACATATAGGTTTAGTGTGTGTACATGTACATGTATATATCAACTTACCCTGGTGTTAATACATTCTCTGTGTTCATGACATTTAGACTGACCATTGGTACACTCGTTAGCATCTTCACAAACCTAATAAATAAATAAAATAATAATAATAATAATAATAATAATAATAAGTTTAGCATTGTTGTTTTAGTCTAGTTCTTGTTCTCATAGCATATATCTTAATAATTACCAGCCGGAATCAGCTCAAACGTTCTACACAGCATAAGGGCATCAATATGTATCAGAAAATGTAATAAAAATTGGTGGTGATTTTGGAGCCATTTTTTGGAAAAAACCATGGGCTATAGCACAGGGAAATTTTCAAAAATTGGCAATTGTAGAAAATGGCTATAACTCAAAATCTAAAGTCAGAATCAGCTTGTTAAGTCAATACACATCATCAGAATGTAAAAGTGAAATGATATTACATTACTAAAGGATGACAGACTAATGATACTATTCAGGTTATGCTTTAAACATGATAACATGATTAGTCATAATCATCAATGGCAGCTGGCTTCTCTGTGAAAGGAGAAGCAGTAGAACATCACCTAATGCTATGAACATTTTTATAATATTTTCTCAATGTCATAATCCAATGACAACGCATAAACACATTCTGTGCGTGACCCTGTGTCTTGTATGTGATATGGTCTATAATTGATCTGTTAGACTCGTTGACTACTTTGAGTCTATGACTGATCTGTAATAATCTGTCTGTGCAGTTTATAATTAGGAATGAAGGACATTTTGTCATTTTAATGTGCACGAATAGAATTAGGAGAAGGATAGAAATGTGGTGTGACATTTTGAATTTCAACACTGGGGAATAAACCAAGACACAACAAAGTAATAATAATAATAATGACACCGTAATAATAATGTAATTAAGTGATTATTGTATTTGCCTTTATTTACCTGTTTGTTGGCGGCATCAGCAAGACTCCATCCAAATTTACCGGTTCCAACGTACCCAGAGGGGCAGTTGAAGCAGTAGTAGCCTGGATCAAGATCAAAACAGAATACTTCAGGATCACTGGAACAAGGAGACGCAACTTGACACTATAAGAAAAAAAATAAAGTATTATTGTGATACAGTAGGATACAGTATAATGATAATAATGTTGTGACACTATAAGTTTTATTTTTATTACCTCATTGACTTGAGTACAGGTGACACCATCCCCAGAATAGCCGATAGGACAGGCAGCACATTGGAACTCTGTATCAGACAGTATAGTACAGTGACTGCCTCTGAAACAAGGATTGGGCTTGCAGGGATCTGAGAGAGACAGAAAGAGAGAGAGGAAGAGAGATAGGGTGAGATCATAGGATGTATACAAAATTACTAAAATTTCTCTCCTCATATCTTTCTCATACAATATCAAAACAACATACTGGGACATTCCTGGGTATTGCATGACTTTGTCTCATTGCTTGATCCTACACATTCCTCTCCATTGTGCATAGCCTCTGTCTTATTCCTTGATCTATATTGCATGCCGCCATCACATGATACAGTGCACTCTGTCCAATCTGACCATTCTTCCCATTCACAATCAACTGCACAAAAATAAAATAATATTTAATTATATCAGTATGCATCAGGAAATTTAATAAATTAGGTGTAGGCGTATAATTTAGGTGTGAAACTTAAAAATTAGCAACAACAGCAATATTTTTATTACTAATAAAAATATTGCTGTTGTTGCTAATTTTTAAGGGTTTAATGATACACTAATGCTTACCAGGGCAAGGTATATCCCCGCACTCCTTCAGTTCTAGATGATGTCCCGAGCAGTTGCTGCCTCCATATTGAGGAGCTGGGTTAGTGCAAGTTCGCTGGCGATGGGATTCACCTCCACCACAAGTCTGACTACAGTCACTCCAATCAGTCCAACCAGTCCAACCACCATCAACTGAAAAAAAAGCAAATAATATTCAATAATTATACTAATAATTGTACATGCAGACTAAAGCATAGCTACAATAATTACTTAATTATTCATTCATTTCCTTACTTGGACAGTGCTGGGCATTACATTCTTGTAGTTGGACTGCTCTCCCTTCACATAGTTTCCCTCCATACTGAGGTGGTTGGTAGAATCGTCTCCTCACTTGACGTCCGCCCCCACAACTCTTGGAGCAAGGCTCCCATTCCTGCCACTCTCTCCATTCGCAATCAACTATTAAGAAATAAATTATTATTATTATTATTATTATTATTATTATTATTATTATTATTATTATTACTCCTTACCAGGGCAGTGTCCAAGTGAGCAAAGTTCAGTGTCTTCTTTGGGTCCTTTACATTGAGCTCCTCCGAATAACGGAGCAGGGTTGTCACACTTCCTTGTTCTTGTCCTAGTTCCATTCCCACAGGTTAAGCTACAGTCAGACCAGTCGGTCCAATCAGACCAACCTCCATCAACTGTGTGAGACAGAGAGTGTTGTAAACAATTATACTTAATGTGTCATAATTGAGCCAAAAATTTGTATTAAAATCATGATGTAAGGCTTGAAGCAATTAAATTAATGGCAAACATACTAATTACTGGTATGTGCCTATGGGGCAGTAAAAAAAACAGCACATAAAGAGCTTAAGTGTCACTAGAGTGCAGTATCACTAGTACTATACTGTCTATTCTGCTGTTTAGTTGTCAACTATGCTTGTTTCCTATTGAGCCTTTCTTGTCCTGTGTGTTGGAATGCTTTGGACAATAAACTTGCACATAATGCAGAATCTTAGGACTGATGTGCTAATATGCATCACTACTGATACAAATATTGCATTAATTATCAATTGATGTGTGCATATGCAGGATACTGCAGTGTCCTGCATGTAAATTGCATTCAGAACTCACCAGGGCATCTAACTTCAGTGTTGCAGTCTTGAAGTTGGGTCACTTCACCACTGCAGTCAAGCTGCACTTGATTCTCGGTGAGACAGCGTCTCGTTCTTGATTGACGTCCTCCACCGCAAGTCCTGCTGCACTGCGTCCATTCAGACCATGAACTCCATGTATTAGGAGGAACTGGTGCTGATGTTCCATTCTCTGGATTACTAATGAAGAACAAGTTCCCATCTATTAAGCAAAGGACAGAAGTTATATCTTGATGTATGTATAGTGTTTTTAGCTTACGGCATCCTTTGCAGCACTGGCCCTGCACAAAATATGGAGGTTTTCCATCTTGACAGAGCCCGTGGACAGGAGGACAGGAATTACTTGCATTTATGACTAGAAGCTGAGGACCTCCTACTTGAGGCATCTATTTTATTAAAAGAATTATCTTATCATTTTTTTAAATGATTCTTTCTTACCACGCATTTATATGTAACACATGGGTTAGTAGGATCGACTGTTTCGTTACCAGCAAATAATGGAAAAACTGGACCATTCTGTGGGATTACAGTGCAAACCGAGCAGGTCTGGCCTCCCTATTGAGCAAAAATATAATGTAAAGGTTTGAATTGATGTGATTATTTGCTGGTTTGCATGCAACAATGATAGCTTACAACAACTATGAAGTCATGAGAGTCTGATGTCTCTGGAGTAAGAGTAGGATGGGTAGCTATAAACAAAGAGAGAGAGAATTTAATTGGATTATTATTGTGTTTTACAATACCAATCCCATTAATTACTGCCCATGCATGCATAGAAATAAAGAAAGAATGAATGAGAAACAAGGCCAGCAAGAGAAAGGTTAAAGTTCTCCATAGACAATAGTTAGGCGATACAATACCAAACAGCAGCCATTCATGCAACAAAACACAAACAAACAAACTCACTTTCTTCACTAGCTGAAAGGACACCCAACAAAGCAAGAAATAAACTCAACGCTAGCAAGCTCTTCATCTTTTAGCTGCACCGGGAAAGTTTGCTCTATAAATTACACGCCGCCTATGATATATCGCTTCTTGAGAGAGGAGAGAAAGAGGTAGATATTGCCTTTCTTTCTGGATGTCTCATGTTTTTATAGCCTGCTGTCCGCCCACTCAAAGTTGCCATGAGCTCACGCTGTGGGTGAAATGGCATGCTGACCTTAGCACTATGCATTCCAGTCATTCCAGTGGGATATCACTCAAAGGCTTATTGTCTTTACTCTTGATACAGTACATGTTGTTGATAACTGATAATCTATTATTTACATACACTCTACAGGCTTGACCTACTAGCATATCCTCTATAGTAATATAGTTGATCATGTAAACAGAATCCTGCAAAGAATTGGCAGCAGTATACAGTAGACTGTGGTTCGTACATGTGCTGTTGGAATTTTATCAGCTAAACCACAGCATGAGCTAATTGTTTATTGCTTGAATGAGTAATGATGAATCATGTCTTAGTGACAAAATCCAGCCATTAAAATATGCATTTGTATACCTGCTTACCAAGAATTACGGTATACAGAAGTGTTCTTTAGGTGGAGGTTATTTTATACAGTAAGGAATGTAATTGGTACACTAGGTGCTGTCCGTTAAATGGAGGTGTACGCTATAGAGAGTGTCCATTAAGAAAGACTATACTATCCTACCTTGATCCAGCAAGCATGCAATGATATAGCAGTCAGTTACGAGTCTATTGGTAGACTGATAAAAATTATAGCTATAACAAAACAATGATGACAATACTGCATGAGTCAAAATCATTCATTTTTAATTGACCACCAAAGCTGCAGTATACTACACATGATGCACGAGTGAATTTGAGTATTGAGTTACTTTCATTTCATAAGAGGAAACCGGCCGGATACCACAAGAGCCAAACTGCCAAACAACTCTACTATAGATTGAAGATTGATAATGCTGCATAGAGTATATGTCATGCTTTCATGAATAAGAGGAATTTATATTGCTACTGCAGAGCAAACATTGCATAGTGGTATCCTCAGTAACACTGTATTGACAGGTGGCCAGTTGTCATGATGGAGGATTAGCTGCTAACAGGATATGATGTATGCATTGATGATACTGCATTATCAGTTACTCTAATTTACATCACAGGTAGTTGTCATAATGAATACACTATAGCATCATTGATAACTGTGAAAATATTTACATCCTACTTGTACTTTTAATCACTAGCTATGCAATCTTTAGCCACACACATTTTATGAATGCCGCCAAATTTGGATTACCTTAGGGCATGTGCTAGTACTCTCACCCTATATAGCTGTATATTGTAAGAATTACTGCATGCTTGCCTGGGTTTGTACATGTACATGTACTCGCTCAAATTCTTGCTAATTTGTCACTATGATCGTTACAGTAGACAATTTTCTGTTAAGATAATTTCTAACACATTCTTTCTCAGCGTATAATGAACATATATAAGATTAGTGGTGTTTGTTTTTATACATATCCTATAATGGCAACAACACTTGCTTACGGTCTTTAATTAAATTACTATCTGTGGAGGTCACTGCATTTCGTTGAAAGTCAGCTTTGCTGTAGCAACAAACGTATCAAAACTATGAGACGCAGGTGTAGGTTAGACATTATGGTAACGTAAATAATTGTAACTATTAAGAACGTAGTCGCCACAGTTGTTTTGTCATATTTATTAATAATCTTTTAATAATGACCTAATATTCGCTACTATTTTCGCTATGATCTAGTACATTAATAATTTCCATGAATAACACATCATTTCATGTTATCATTATTATTATTATTATTATTATTATTATTAAATTAATACGTATCCCATATCCTTTGACGAATGTTGATTCTTGTGAAAACTCACTCAAGAGAGTATTTTGGTCATGCACCTGTGTGGTATATATTTAGCTAAAGAGCATCATTTCCGTGGAAATATTTCTTCTATCAAAACACACATCACATCCAGGAATACATCATTAGTAAGGTATGCAGTGTTAGTACAGTACGTCCCTAGTCCTTTATCATAATTATTATTACTAGTCGCCTCAAATGTGTTATTGTGGGCATTCTCAGGAACTGAGTGATGATTGACCTCTCTCTATCTCCCTACAGTATATGAAAGTATGCTTGCATTATTACTGCAATTGTATGATGGTACAGTGGAGATATGAGTAAACAATATTTGACTGTTGCAGTATTGTGTTAGCATCTTGTCTAGTGTGAATAGAGAGGCTCTTGTTAACATGGGCACTATTCCCCTCCTCTTCGCCTTAATAATCCACCAGCAATACGACTATAGCTCTGAAATATGCAGAACATGCATGTAGTATTTCCGTTAGACTCCCCAGTGATACTATCATCATTAACAATACTATTGCTACTCCCTCTTTTTCTGGAGGATGAACTATCCATTATAGCAAGCAAAGAATATACTGCCTTTATTTATGTGTGTCCATGCAAAGGATTGTTCACATTCTCATTCATTAGGACCATGTACCATTGGATTGTATGTCCTGCTAGCTAGTCCATGGACTATGAGAATATACTCACTATATTGAACACTTCATGGCAATGACATTTGAAGTACATGTAATAATTAATTAGCTTTAATGCAAAAACATTAACCTTAAGCTACAGCTAATTACTCAGAAATGCTAATATACTCCAACAGCTTACATGATACTACCAGCTCATTATATTAATGGATATATGATATGTTGTGAAGGACGGAAATTATAATAGCGCTTGGATATTAGATCATCTTCTGTTTGACGTACGTTTTATTAGTTGTGATTGCTAGTGGATGTTGAATCATGTCACAAGTGTATATTTTTATAATGTGAGAAAAGTTGCATGATCCATGTACATGCACACAAACTTTCCAACCTCAAAAATGGCAGAGTATAATAACAGTATATACTGGAACCAGTGCATGATTGACTCAGGTGTATGCATGGAATAATGATCTCACTGCATCAGTATTTATAGTTTGATAAACAATTACTGCATTATAGCTACGTACAGTGTAATTTCTTTATTTTGAACACTTTTAATCAGGCCATGATACAGAATCTTGCATGCCAGACCCAGCTAGATACATAGGTGTTCTCATTTCATATATTAGGTACTTTAAATAGGCTTGTTATGCTATAGATGCTATAGATTGAAGTGTCTTGATTTTATTTGAGCCATTCTTGCCTATATATAATAAATTATGCTAGCTTTCACTGGCTTTTGCAATCCTTGGCAAAGAAGTATCAGCAATAAAGGAAAAACAGACATTATACAGATATCATGCAGCAAGAGTAGCTGCAGGTATATCTTGAAATGTCACGTTATACACAACTGAATGACAGAGGTCTAGTAATGTTGTTGTTCATAACTGAGTCTGTGTACTAGTGTACCTCATACAATAAACTACATTAGGTCACGCATTAGTATACTCAGTACAATATGATATCATTATGTGCATGCTATGGAAGCCAATTCTGTTGCTATGGGTAGATAATCCACTACTGAGAAGAACACCTGGAACAGTGCGAGCTAAACCATGATTGATGCACCCAATCGCTGAATGATTTAAGAATCTATTTCGCATATTTAGAGGCCGACAGAGTGTCTCAACTATAATTAGTGATAAAATGTGATTATTAGTATTTTTGCATAAGCTGCATTAGTGATTTTATGCAGTGCTAAAAGCATATCTCCTTATATGGAATATTGTGAAGGAGAGTGGGAGAGAGAATCAAGTTTATCTATTTATATAAATAAAAGTTGATATCAGTAGCTGACAAATGCAATAATCACTTCTCCCAAATAGGCATTTATTGTTCTCAAACTATGCATACCGCAATAATATAGATTTATGGACTATCATATTCAATAGTATATACAGTGATTGAAGCACTCCTCTTACCATAGCAACAATTGGAGTATAATGAATACTTGAGTATAAACACTAAGACTGAACTTTATAGTAAATCTACTTACATTCATTAACCCTTATACTGTATGGGAGAAGAATAAAATCATGCGGAGCAATAATTAATAGGAATCACGTACATCAATGTGCAGAATGAATTTTGACTATAAACACTAATATATATATATGACAGAAAACTATGACCAAACCGTCTAAAAATTATTGTAGGATGCATGTGGGAGCCTTTACCAGGAATAAAGCATACGGAAGAACAATCAATAGCAATCATGTACATGAATGGACAACGTACTTTTGAGTTACGACCTAAAGCTAATCTTATCCTCTTTGTCAATTTTATACAAATGTAATCTAAACCTTTGATTGCAGCATAGTAGAGTGGGCAAATATCAATTGTACAACATTATACATGTAACAGTATCAACAATAATATCCTGCCAAATCAAACGAAATGTTACTAATGATGTTACAATTACAGGTACTAGCCTACTCATCATTGATAAAGATCAAAAGACTTTAGCAGGAACTGCAGAGGATGTCAGGGTGTGTCAGTGTGGATTATGTGAATGAGAAGGAAGACCATTGAAAAATAATATCTACAGTTACAGGATGTGAGAGGAATCTACCTTGAATAAAGTCAGCAATTAATTATGAATTACGTTTATGCATAAAAAACATAGCTTACAGTTCTATATCATGTCAGATGGAATCATTACTAATACAATATATTAATTAAATTAGAGGTTTTATGAGTGAAAGACATCAATAGATTGTGGTAAAGGTGAAGTATGTGTTATAGTATTTTGTGTTTACGAATGAGAACAGTGATAAAAAGAGAAGCCATTAAAGGCCAGCTTACACTATAGTATCATTAATATGAGGTAATACTACTATACTTGAATACTAAGGAAGATGACCGACGCCAAAACCACTGACTACATTGACAGATGAATTAATTGAGTTTCCCCATGGTAACATTTCATTATACTGTATAGGAAAAGATTGCAATGTATTATCAAGAGTAGATAATAGATCATACATAAACATTATTGTTATAAAGAAATATACAAATTACATTTTAGAAATAATACTTAAAGAGACAAAGAAAAGAGACAAAAAGAGAGAGAATAAGTGGGTGTTGGTTAGAGTCGGATGAGTAGGTGATGGTATTGTGCACAGATGTCACTGTATAAACTGAACACTCACGTCAGTCATCAAAGGTATCATCTATCACCAGTAGACTGTGATGAAATGTGAAAAATTCAGCGAACAACTGGTAAACAACTGGGTTTGCCTAGTGACCACAAACTCTTGTGTAACCATTGTTCATTTTGAAGTGGGCACAACCTCATTCCTAGTCTCTTTATTCTTCTTTGAGCGATGGAGTTTTGATTTGTACTGTTGTAGTATTGGTCTGTGTGAGTGGAGTATTGGGACTCCCTTTGATCTATTGATATCTTCGTCTCCCGTGGAAAAGAATCCTTTGAAAAATATTAGCAATACGAATAGACCTAGGACAAAATACAACCAAAACATTGAGAAAAAATAAAAATTAAAAAATAAGAGACACACCTCCAAATAATTTTTAACTAACTGATCTAACCTTAATAAGTTATTTAACCATTCCTTAAGTTAATTAATTTTTATCAATAATCGTACTGAGTTCATTTTAATAACCACACTGCGCATTCACACGTGGGCAGTTTATAAGCTATGGGAGGGAGAGAATTTTAGTATTAATTTTGTCCTGCAAAGCAAAGATGACAAGAACTCTTGCTCCTTTTTATTTTTTTATTATATTTATATCCAGTGACCTTGGTTATTGCACTGAACTGAACAGTGGAAGTGGTAAGATACCCTCTGTACTGTATGCTGCAATATTTGATAATAATAAATAATTATTGTTTTATTTATTTTTCTCTCTCTTGCTTTATAGGTTCTGGTTCTTCAGGTGTAGACCCAACTACTCCTTCTCCTCCTTATCCCCCTCCTGTGTATCAGGACCCACCAATGTAATAATAATGAATGGTTACTGAATTTACATGTACACATGTATTGTGGTTGTATTATTAATATCAGGTTGCACTTGTATAATTTAGTTGATGGAGTAATGAGCTTTAAAATGTCTGTACTACTAATAGCAAGTGCCTTTATCTTCTCTTCCCAACTAGTGTCATAAATAAATATTTATCATGTCCATTGTACTGTATGGTTGTATTGGGTTGTCGGTCCTGGTGTTATTCCTAATCATCAGTAATTCAGTTTAAGTGACTTTATGTATACTCTTGCCTATACGTTTATCAGTGTCAAGGGATAAAATTTTATTGCAAAATAAAAATTATCTTTTAATCTCTCTCTCTCCCTCTCTCCCCCCTCTCTCCCCTCTCTCTCCCCTAGTACTTATGGTAACCTGACATGTGATTGGTATGATGTTGGTGATCCAGTATGTCAGCAAGTATTTAGTTATCCTGTCATTAACAATCACTCCAGAGGTGACTTTGTTACGATATACAGTGACCTCCTGTCCATATTTGGTGCACTCGGGAATACAGGTGCTGCTTCTATTTGCAGTCTTAACGCGGCCCCACTGTTGTGTCATTTCACCTTTCCCTACTGTGACCCAGCCTACTCACTATTAGTACCAGTCTATCAGCCATTGTGTAGGAGGGACTGTGAGCTAATGAGGGATTTCATGTGTAAAGAGGAATGGGAAGCTACCAAGAGACTGGAGGGAATATTGAGATTTGGTTTAGTCGATCGGTTCAATTGTGAGGTACTGGAGCCGAGCAATGGAGGGGAGCCACCGATGTGTATCAGTACACTGGACAGTGGTGAGTGGACACTGGTTGAATGGTATAGTGGAGTGGCTTGAATTTGATGATTTGGTTCCTATTCATCAAAATACACCTTCCATTAACACTAGCAGTATTATATTATGTACAATGTACATATACTTAGTGATAAATGGTCACAAATTATTGTTAAAAATAGGACAATTATTGTCACTCCTTAAAGATTGTATTACATACCATACTTAGTTTAAAAACAGGAGAGAAGGAGAGAGAGAGAGGGGGGGAGAGAGAGAGGGTGGAAAGAAGAAGGAAGAGAGAGAGAGGGGGAGAGGGAGAGAGAGGGGGGGAGAGGGAGAGAGAGGGTGGAAAGAAAGAAGGAAGAGAGAGGGAGAGAGAGAGGAGGAAACAAAACATGAGATAATGATAACCCTAGAGTGACACCACAAGATAACTGTCATAACAATTATTACAGCATTCGTTATTATTCTTTTATTATTACTACCCACTAGTATTATTAATTCTATTATTATTATCATTCATAGGTATATAC